AAAAAAAAGATGGTTTCCAGGTTCAATTTTGTTTTTTAACTGCAAAGGGTGTATCTGTCCAAAATGAATTCCATAGTTTATTAAAGCCATAACTGTCTCTCAGTACAAATAGTGCTTTTTCATTTCACAAGAATATTTGAATTTTCTATTTAATTTCCTCTTCAAGTATTTTTCATCGAATGATAAGCTTTATAGGATGTGGGGTTTTTTGTTGTTGTTTTTGAGACAGGGTCTCCCTGTGGCCTCAGCTGGCCTGGAAATAGCTATGTAGACCAGGTTGGAGGCAATCTTACAGAGATCTGCCTGCTTCTGCCTCCCCCACCACACTCCCAGTGCTGGGATCAAAGGTGTACGCGACCACACCCAGCAGGGTATAGGATTTTTAAAAGAGATTACCCAAACCAAAAATCAAACCCATAGCCCTTCATGTAACTTAATATTTTTAAACACTGTAATGAATTTATTAATGCTTTCAATTTCTAACATTGCTAACACATTTGTATGTGTTAAGGCATTTTCAAATTTATCAATTGTTAGAAATCATAGTAGGCTTGAACCACTACAGCATGCTTAGCTATGACCTTATCTTTAGTAAAAATTGTTTTTCCTGCAGATCATAGATCTCTGGGGTCAAGAGAAGTAAGTTTGCTTTAATTGGACATCTCAGAAGCATCATTAGCAGGATTTTGATGTTAACAAAATCCTACGCATAGACTCATATTCCAAACTGTAATGTGGCACAAGGGTTCTGCTTTCTCATGGAATTTATTATTTATGTTTTAGACAGGCACAGACTTTCTTGCTGTCTTCCTGGTTGTGACTGTAATAGAGTCGGCCAGCCATTTGAGAGTTCCAGCTTTAAGCAGATTTCAATTCTACTTTCTGCTTTGGAGAGCAAAAGGTTTTATATCTGTTCAAATATGGATTCAAATTAATGTTTCTAGACTTTAGGACCTTTCCCAAGCCTCCTTAGAACCTTTCCCTTTCTCTTTCTTTATCAGAGCTTGCATCCTTTTGGTTGTGTCCCTGAGCCTTTAATGCCTGACCATCTGTCCAGCCCTGAGCTTGGATTCTTATTGGTCCCATTATGTACAATTCTTCTACTATGGAAGACTATTATTAAAATGATGAGCTAATGTATGTGCCTTGACAGATCTTCAAGATATATACTAATGCATAAACAGGAAATTTTTTATTTTGGAACATTAAAGTTTTACTGTTCTATAAGCTTATATATATATATTTGTTGTTCATTTTATTCTGTATTTCAAGGTGTTTGTAATAGTTTTAATCCCACATGATATAAGAACTAAAAGTCCCCAACACACAAACATGGCACTTACTCTTTTTCAGTCTGTTGAAATTTATTTAGTGGGGGTAGGCTAAAGGGATAAAGATATAGCTGTAGTCTATGCCAGAGGAAAATTGCACCTGCTTCTGCTCATCTACAATAGAACAAATCTTATAGTGGATATATCATAGCACATCAAACATACCAAATCAGAATAACTGATAGAATTAATCCTTACCAGACTCATCTGAAAAGTAAACATCCAGCTAGTGTTATAAACGATCAAGGTAAAACAGAAAATTTAGGAAATATCTTCACCTCCTAAGTATTCATGTGTCTTTGAATTCTCTCTCTCTCTCTCTCTCTCTCTCTCTCTCTCTCTCTCTCTCTGTGTGTGTGTGTACGTACCTGGACAGAAATGTTTTTAGATTTTCACACTTTCAGTTATATATAGAGGAATTCTAAATTTTAGATCAAGAAAGAAGACAAAATTTATAGAATATTATCCTTGTTAAAATTTTAAATATAGTAACAGTGATGACAGGATTACATTGACCAGTTGTTGATCAATGTGCACAATCTTGTCCTCAATAATCTTATAAAGTCTAGAGAGGTTAAGTAACTTACCCAAGGGCACACAGCTCATAAAAACTGCAGTCAACATTCCAACCAGTTTGTTTTGATTCCAGAGGTATTATTTTACCTTTTCACCTTTTTCTCTATTAATGTAAATATGTTCTGAAGTTACTGCTACCAACAGCCACAACAATTCAAGCAACCAGGGCCTGTAGATGGGGAGGCAATTTCTCTACATTCCAGGGATTGTGTTTTTATTTGAAGGAGCAATTTATCCTGACTTATCCCAACTTTTTTATTGGTGGGTTTAAAGGCTCATGCTGAGTGAGAAGAGCTTGTCCTATGCTTGCTCCTGTGGAGTGGAATACGCATGCGGTCCTCTCCCTTCATTCCAGGCTTCCGGGGTGTGCCTAGGCTGCCTGTCTGCCCTCTGTTTCTGATAAGTGAGTTTTATGTCTCTAGCAGTGCTTGGGAATTCTGTCAGGCCTGGTGAGGTCATCCTGCTTCCCGCTGAATTTCCTTTCTCTGTTTTCATGGACTGCTCTGATGAACATGACTCTGGAGCATTAAGTAATACCTCTGTTCCCTTAGAAACTATTGGCCTACTCCCTGGTTTTATCTCTCTCTGCACAAAAGTTCCATGTCTCTGGAAAGGAAAACAGAGCTGACATTAACCAGGGAAACACCAACTGCAGCCTAGTTCTTGGGTTAACACACACTGGTAATGCACACACTAATTTCTTGGCCTCTTCATTGACCACCTCTTCAGTCCAAAACTAAAGAACCTTTGGTGGGCTTTGTAAAGAGAAAGCTCTAGAAAACAGGAGGAGGGAAAAGCCAGAGTCAGAGATGCATTCATAGCTTTTCTATCATTTGGATTATGCATGACTATTTGTACCAAATTTTATTTCTTGCTGTGTAGGTTGCTATAGCTACAACAGAAACTATAATTCATAGAATTTATGATTGTGTCCAAATGTCTATTATTTCCAATGAAAGGATTAATTCCAATGAAATATGAAAATAAACATCTGTAGTTGAAAAAAAAATCCAACAACTTTTATTGAATTCTGTTTGGAGTTCTAAACCTTATATAATAGCACCCCCGACACACACATACATTAAGAATATCAAAAAACTTATATTTCCTTGATAGTACCTTAAACAAATGTTTTCAATAATTTAAGTAAACCAAATCCCCTAACAGTGATTCAAAATTATGGTATCATCCTGTGGTTTTACTATGACATATAATTGAGAGTCTGTCCTACTGAACAATGACTGTGACTCTCCCATCAACCAATTCTGTCCTGAGGTATTAGGTAAACAGTTCTAAATAGTGTCCTACCTTTCCCCGGATGGGCTCATTGGGAGTTTTTCTGGAGTCATATTGATGTATAAAAGAGATATATTCTACAAAATTGTTTTCATGTTCTCCTGATGCATCTGGACAGACAAGTGGAACTAAGTAAAAGAAAAGAAATTTCAGTGAAACCAGGACAATAATTGGATTTGTCTATGGAAATATATTCAGTATCACAATATTTATGCTTTATGAAAAAGGACAACAAAAGGTCTTTAAGTATGTGAGTTATTTAGCCACACTATATAATAAACATAATGGATTCAGCATTTATTCTTCATGAAAAGATATAAATCAAAACAACCAAATTAGCCCCATATGGAGTTATTAAATTTTTTTTTTTGGTCTTTTTGAGACAGGGTCTCCCTGTAGCTCCAGCTGTCCTGGAACTCACTATGTAGACTAAGCTGGCCTCGAACTCACAAAGATCCGCCTGCCTCTGCCTCCTGAATCCTGGGATTAAAGGCGTGTGACACCACGCCCGGCAGAGTTATTAATTTTTAAAACTAATATTAATAGCACAACAGTAAAAAGCTACTGGCCTTAAAATCCGTTAGATGTGCTTTTTAAACAGACACCAATTTGCCTTAGAGAAAACATAAGTATAATTTGTTTGTCAAATTATATAATTAGAAAGGGTATGAGAGTCACTGCTGATTGTGTGTGTGATAATGATGATGACCAGGGAATCCTGTGTGGAAGTTACTCCCAGCCAGCGTAGTAGAAGGAACTGGAACACCCAGGGTGACTGTCATAGACAAATGCAAACTCTTTACACTTCAGCCAATAACAGGTTCTGATCATTTACAAAATAGTAAACCTTCTAAAAATCACTTCAAGATAATCTTTCTATCAGGATGCTGACTACACAGGTGCTCATTAGAATGGTCTCTTTGCTATATGTATGTTTAACATTTTAAATTAAAAAAATTTTTTTTGGTCTTTTGAGACAGGGTCTCCCTGCAGCCCCAGCTGGCCTGGAACTTATGTAGATCAGGCTGGCCTCAATCTCACAGAGATCCACTTGCCTCTGCCTCCTAAATGCTGGGATTAAAAGCATGTACCACCACACCTGGCTCAAGTACTTTTTAAAAAACTTATTTTAGTTTTACTTTCAGAAGCAGTTAAAGAACCAGAGCAATTTCCAACTGCTACTGGACAATCAACCATTGAAAAATAAAAATGGCTTCAAAATCTCCTTTTAACAAATATAGACATAAGAATCTGCATGTTCTTGGCACATCTACGGAATGATATGTAAGAACTTGATAATGGTGGTTCTAATAGGGGAAGGAATTGGATGACTGAGGACAAAATGGAGATACACTTTTCACTGTATATTTTTGTATGATTTGAATTATTTACTATGTGTGTATATAGTAGCTATTAAAGTGAAACAAAATGTAAATTTTAAAAGTCACACCTTTAAGCTGGGAGTCGTATTCTATGACTGTGATCCCAGTACTCAGGCAGAAGGAGTGCCACAAGTTTGAGGCCAGCCTGAGCTACCTAGTGAGTTCAAGGTCAGCCTGGGATACTCAATGAAGATCTGTCTCAAACAAAATAAAACATGCTTTAAACTGGGTGAGGAATACATAAGAAAGGGAAATATGTTAATAAATTTATATTGATTAAGTATTAATTCAATTTATGTTGATATAAACTAATTTTTCTAGAAAGAATGATGAGTATTCAAATAGCTTTAAAAATACGTGATAAAAAAATAACATGATATAGGGGCTGGAGAGATGGCTCAGCAGTTCAGCTCAGCAAGAACTGACTGTTCTTGCAGAAGACCTGGGTTCGAATCCCAGCACCCACATGTCAGCTACAACTGTCTGTAACTCCAGTTCCAGAGGATCCGACAGTCTCTTCTGTCCTCCGCAGGCATTGCTCGACATGGGTGCACTTACTTGCATGCAGGCAATACGTGCACACACATAAAATAAAAATAATAAAATATTTTTAAAAATACATGATATAAAATGGCAATATTTCCCCAGTTACCTTAAAAAATAAACTCATATTTCCTTGATTTATAATTGAGATCAGCTATTCAAAAGTCATTTTCTCCTTAACCATTACCTTTTTTGTAGGACAAAGAAGAGCAGGTACCAAAGATTTAATAACTTCAGCATTGAGAGAAATCCATTATTTTAATTTAAAATTTCCTGCTAGTTGGGAAAAGATCGTGTTTTTATAAATACCACATCTTAGTCAGCCTGGGCTACATAGTGAATTCAAGTTCATGTTTTTGTAAATACCATATCTCAGCTTGCAGAACATTGGTGCTTTCAGAAACACAGTTGCTCACCCTGGATGAAGTGAAGCATCTCTACATCTGCATCAATGAGAGAGGCCAGTGGAGTGTCCAAAGCATGAGCTCTGATAAAGGATAGGCATGTTTTCAAATTCTGACTCTCTCACACACCCTAGCCATATGGGTGTGCGGGGTGGAGGGTGAAAAGCACTTGATTTTATTGAAATTCAATTTCCTTCTTTCTGAAATGTGGATAATGATAATTGGTGTCCTGGTTTCATTTCTGTTGGTATGATAAAATATCCTGACGAAAACAAATTTAGGGGAGAAGGGGTTTACTCTGATTACAATTCCAGGTTATGGCCTATCAAGGGTGAAGTCGAGGTGGTAGGAACTTACAACAGCTAGTCACATCACATCCATAGTCAGAGTAGAGAAATTCATGCCCGCTCCATGCCTGTGCTTAACTCACTTTCTTGACTCTTACACAGTCTGAGACCCCAAGCCAGGGAATGGTGCTGTCCATAGTGGACCAGGTCATCCCACATCATTTAGATAATCAAGAAATGACCCCCACACACACACATACACACACATACATGCCCACAGGCCAACCTGATGTACACAGTCCCTCATTGAGACTATCTTTACAGGTGATTCTAGACTGTGTCAAGTTGACAATTAAAATTAGACATCACTGTTTGCTTTCAGAATTGGGAGGACTAAGGACAATGTTTATAATGTCTCTGGGATGCTGGGATCAAAGTATGGAGGGGAAACTATAGTCAGGAGAAGAGCTGAATCTGATGGCCTATCCCCAAACTGTGAGTAACCCAGAGGCTCTAGGGAACTGGTATGAAGAACTTAATAAGCTGGTTAAAGAACTGGTGGCATCCAAGGCTGAAGAGTAGGAAAATTCAGGTACAGCTAAGAAAGAACAGGTTGGGAGAGAGCTTTCAAAACATGCTCTTGACTTTTTCTCTCACATTGCCTCTGGAAGATTATTGCTTAATCTAGTGCCACAGAAACTGGCATTAACTGCTTAGCCATCTGTTGTCAACAGAATAACAATAGCACAGAAATCCCTCCAGGGGGCTGGGGAGATGGCTCCATGGGTAAAGGCACTTGTTGCCAATCCTGATGACCTACAGGGACCTACATGATTGAAGGAAAGAAGTGACTTGAGGAAGTTGGCCTCTGACGTATCCTTGTATACCCCTTTCCCAAATAAATAAATGTAATAAGAAATCTTAAGTCTCTCCAGAACAAATGGTTGATAAAAATGGGTGCCACTGCCTGGCTAGGCATCTCCTGCTCTACCACTCTCCCTGCAACTGTCAGTGTTGGTGGACTTAAAGCACAAAGACATGCTGGGCATGTTGGCGCACGCCTTTAATCCCAGCACTCAGGAGGCAGAGACAGGCGGATCTTTGTGAGTTTGAGGCCAGCCTGGTCTACATAGTGAGTTCCAGGACAGCTGGGGCTACAAGGAGACCCTGTCTCAAAAAGACAATGACTTGGTCTACAAAGTAAGACCTGTTAAAAAAAAAAAAAAAAAAAAAAAAAAAACCCAAAAACAAAAAACAAAAACCAACAAAGACATTGCCTTCTCCCCACAATGCCTCTTTTCAGTTTATGGGTGGTGGGGGTGGACTCTTGATTAGAGGACTAGTCTGGTAGAGTGAAAGCAACTGGTGATGGTTAAAACTGGTTTGTGACCTGGTCATGTAGCTCAGTTGATAGACTGCTTGCCTAGCATGCACGAAAGCCCTCGGTTTGATACCCAGCATCACATAAGTCATGATGGTGCATGCCCGAAATCCCACACTTGGGATGAGAAAGCCTGAGGAGCAGAAGAAGGTCAAGGCCATCTCAGCTACACAGCAAGTTCAAGGACAGCCTGGGCTACATGAGACCCTGTCACAAAACAAAACAAAACAAAACAAAACAAAAACCTGTTTTGTAATGTCTGAAGCTTTCCAGGTTCAGCATCATTTTCTTCCCTTAAATTCACTGTGAGGCACACAAAACAAACCCTGGTGTTAGCCTTTGCCCACAAAGGCTGCATGGTGTCTAGGAGAGCATGACCTATGAGAAACTACATACACTGCAAAAGAAAAAGATACACTATTGTGAATGCACGGAGAATTTAACGTAATCACAAAAACTATCTTCAAAGGCATAGATGCTATTACTAATATGTTACAAGAATAAGAGGTTATAAAAAAGAGTCACATGTTAGAATTTAAAATAGCTAAAACTTTTTAAAATGCATAAATAATGAGATTTGTAACTAGAAAATCAGACTGAGAAGCTCTCCCAGAAGACAGCAGGAAAAAAGAAATGAGAATTTAAAATACTAAATAGCAAGAAAAGTCAAAGTACCAGCACCAGAATTCAAAAGAAATACAAGGAAAATGTTTAAGGAAATAATGAGAATAAATATCCAGGAATGAAAGAAAGATTGAAGACCTCAAACTGAAAGAGCTCACAACACATCAAAATGGTAGAGAGCACCTGTGAAAAAGGGGCAGAGAAGCACAGGGATGCAGGATTTAAGGAGGTGCCTCTGTGACCCGGAAATAGCTAGTGCTGCCTTAAATTGTGCTTCTCTTTTGCTTCACTTCCAGCAAGTCCTGAGAGGTATATAAAGGAAAGCAAGCACCCAGACACTTAGAGAATTCTGAGTTCTCCTAAGATAAACAAAACAAAGCAAAATTACCAACGCTTTCAAAGAGAAAGATAAATTATCTACAAAGCAGCAGGAAGCAGATTAACATCAAATATCTCAAAAGCAACACTGTTTACAAGATGACTACTATTTTTAAAATACTACAAAGA